CTGATTGGTCGAACGATGTCGATCAACTCCAATCACAACTTGACAAAAAAATCCCAACTTTTTTTAACACCGTATATGCCAAGGGTTTACATGTCTTTAATTTTCGTCGAAAACGAACAAAGAATAATGTAGTCTATAAATAGATCAAGGTCGTTTCTTTATTCAGAGAGTGTGCGTGAAGAAGCAGGCCTTCTGATTGGAGCAGATAGTAAGAGTTTCTTTAGCAGTGTTTAGAACAAGTCGTGTAAATATTTTTCCCAGAATTCCAAATTACGCAAGCGCACTTGCAGTTTCATCCAACCGTAACTAGTCAGCCGCGGGCTGACTAATGAGGAGAGTAGCGTATCAGAAACCCTTGGCTAGCGAAGATGGCGGACATTGAGCGTGGTGCGATCTTCCAGTCTATAGCTTGTGTCATGAAGCAGCCGTAAGAGGTTGTGAAATAACGGACATTGAACGTGGTGCGCGATCTTCCAGTCTATAGCTGTGTCATGAAGCATCCATAAGAGGTCATGAAATAGCGGACATTGAGCGTGGTGCGATCTTCCAGTCTATAGCTGTGTCATGAAGCAGCCATAAGAGGTCATGAAATAGCGGACATTGAACGTGGTGTGATCTTCCAGTCTATAGCTGTGTCATGAAGCATCCATAAGAGGGCATGAAATAGCGGACATTGAACGTGGTGTGATCTTCCAGTCTATAGCTGTGTCATGAAGCATCCATAAGAGGTCATGAAATAGCGGACATTGAGCGTGGTGCGATCTTCCAGTCTATAGCTGTGTCACGAAGCAGCCATAAGAGGTCATGAAATAGCGGACATTGAACGTGGTGTGATCGTGGTAGGATGGAACGTACATGTACTAATAATACATAGAACGTGGCTCAGTCTTTTGGACGAGGAAAATATCGAGAAACCGGTATTCTCCAAGTAGCAGCGTCATGATTGCCTTCAACAGAAAGTACATGTAGTTTCCCTAATTTTCCACGATCCCATCACCAAAGCATTAGATAATGGAGATAGCACTTAGAAAGTTTACTGGATTTTGTTCATTCAGTGTGTCTTGTTATCTTTACAATAGAAATGTCAAAGATATAGATAACTGTCAACAAGTGCAGATAGTATTCATTTTGTAATTATTAGTTCATGCAGGATGAAGAATTGACATTGCACAGCGATCTCCAAGAATGCTTCCGGAGGATAAGTGAAAACGAAGACTGTAAAGAAAAGAGTGTGAAGGAATCTCCACGTAATGATGATTCAAAGATAGAAAAGGCAGGCTCTACCGGTTACCCAATAGAATTTTTACCAGCATTTGCTCCTGCTAAGGTTCCTTCTATGCTACATGCTAGATCTACAAAGATAATTCCATAGACACCATCCTTCCAACAGAAGTATTTCACGGAAAGTGTGACCGTAGTAACAAAAAGGACAAGAGGAGGGAAGAAAAATAAAGACAGAGAAGAAGGAGTTACACTTGTACATGTATTGTACATGTATAACCCCCCCCCCCCCCAACCCCCCATACTACGTACTTGAATATGAAAGGGTTTGAACAAAATAATCTGCTGTCTTCTGTTCCTGTGCGGATCTAGAAGGGGGATCGGAGGTGTCTGGACCCCATCCCCCAGAGTGATCAAAGAACGAGTGCACTTATTCTTTGGATTCGACAAGAATCTGAGCGCACTTGAAACGGGAAAATTTCATTGATTCGACACATGATATTTTAGCATTCCGTTGATAAATTTGGTTCGCGTGTGATATAGACAAGGGAACTATTTTTCCGATATTGTGTTTTGATTTGCTAAAATATGCCTTGAAATATAGCTACTAGTTGATGAATCATTTGGTACAAAATATGAATCATTTGGTACAAAATTTTACATTCTACAGGCACTTGTTTAAATTCTTTTTAACAGATACGAAGGTTGTCCGGTAAAATTGGAAACAAGTAGTCTAGAGTGAAAAATTATCAAAACTGCTTTCTAAAATTTTCTATGCTCTTTAGTACGATTTTCATCTAAATAAAGATAACCGTCACGGTAGCTCAGTCGGTAGAGCGCTCGCTCCGTGATCGGGAGGTCGTGTGTTCGAATCACGGCCGCGACTGACCTAAGTCGATAAGAAATAGGTAGCAACTGTTCCTTCGCCAACCGCTCGGCACTTTGATTGATTGTATGTTGTTTTACGTCCCATTCGAGAATTTTTCATTCATATAGAGACGTCACCATATAACAGTGAAAGGCTTCAAATTTTGACCTTTAGTGGCACTCAGGGCCATTGAACAGTGAGGGATTTTTATCGTACCAACGCCTTCCGTGACACGGGGCCTCGGTTTTTAAGGTCTCATCCGAAAGACCCGCAACTTTCACTTCAAAGTGCCGAGCGCATGGCGAAGGAACAGTTGCTATCCATTTTTATCGACTTAGTCGCGGCCGAGATTCGAACTCACAATCTCCTGATCACGGAGCGACTGAGCTACCGTGAACGGTACTCGGCACTTTGAAGTGAAAGTTGCGGGTCCTTCGGATGAGACCTAAAAACCGAGGCCCCGTGTCACGGTAGGCGTTCGCACGATTAAGAACTCTCACTGCTTAATGTCCCTGAGTGCCGAGTAAATTTGAAGCCCTTCACCGGTATATGGTGACGCCTCTCTATGAGTAAAAAATTCTCGAACGGGACGCAAAACAACATACAACCAATTAATCAAAATACATAACAAATTTCAAAGAGTTATACATGTATGCTCAAATAAACAATATATAGGATTTTATGTTATGTGTGGTATCGGTTTACGGCGCTCGGATGAAAAAGTCAAAATCTCTGAAGCAACTTCAAGTTTTATCTTTGCATAAAAAAGTTGGAAAAGCCCCACTTTAATTCCCGCACACACTTGAGTTCACCTTTCTTGCTCCAGAAACAGTCGAGGGACAAATCTCGCACACACATGGGGCCCCATGAAAACTTGTAAAAATAAGTTCTGGAAGGTACTCTCACTTTCACTGCCTATAATTATGCAGTCTTATTTCGACGGTCTAATCGTCATTGCCAATAGTTGATTTTCTGTATGTTTTGATCTACCGTGGGACTCGATCAAAAAGTTCCCGTTTTTAAAAAATAAGCATATTCCTCGAAAATGCCCAAATGACAACATAACAGATAGGGAATTAAAAATGATTTAATTTTTACGCCAACCTTACCTGTTTAATACTTTTATTTCAAAATCATACTCGAACATTCTCTGATAAAATCCTAATTTTTGGTGATGCGCCTTATGGCCATACCCTGTGCAAATTCAAGTTCTTTAAAAATAGTTTATTAAAAAAAAAAAATAAAGATATAATTAAATATGATTAATAAACATTTGCTAAAAGTTTCAGCTCAATGCGTGCATTATTTTTTCGATAAAATCACGTTGTCCACGATTTTATCGGACAATCCTGGAAGAATAATAATAACACGAGGTACCCAACTACTTTCATTGAGTACTCCCTCCTTAGAATTGCAGTCATTTACACTTTCAGAGAAAATGCACTGGCAAACTTTCTAACCACAGTCTTCTATGATAAGTTATCTACACAACCATGTATGGCATGCTTTTATCTCCGTAAATAGCGTCAAACTCTGCTCACCGACACAGGTGTTTGTTGGGGACGAGACATCCCCCTCCCCCACCCCAGCTTTCCATACTCCAAGGGTTCTTCGACTTTTTTTTTTTAATATATAAAATAGTTTTCTATGGCACATTCATGAAGTATTACAATTGAAAAATCCAGAATTTAACTTAAAACTAACCTTTCATAAAAATTCGCACTATTCATTTATTTATTTATTTATTTTGACAACCCTCTTAGTCTTTTGTCAGTTTCATTCTTTTTACTGATTATTTTATTTTAATAGAATTTATAATTAAAGTTATAATTAAAGTTAAATTTTGATGCTTCGAAAGCAAAAGCAATTTCTCTGATTTTGATAAATTTACGGAAGCCGGTAGATGCAAAGTAGAAAAAAAAATTTATCTGGCGACCGCCAAATACCGGTAATTATCTTGTGACCGCCACATAAATAACTGGCGACCGCCAAATAAAAAAGATGTTGCTAGCGGCCATCATAAATTTATCTGGAATATCATTATCTGCAATATAATTTCTGGCGGTCGCCAATTATTTATGTGGCGGCAAGCAGAAAGTTATTTGGCAGCCGCCAAATAAAAAATAAAAAGTAGTCACTAAGAAAGGCTGAAAAAATCAGTCTAAAATGCTGGAAAATGTACCATTTGGAGCCATTCTTTAAAAAAATTTTCAGGGGAGGCCCCACGAACCATCACCTATGGGAGGGGACACACTCTTCCATACTCTCCCCCTTCGATCATAAGGCCCCAAAACACCCCCATCTCCCTACATGAACTTCTGGATCCGCCGCTTTGGAATAAAAACAGATTTTAGATATTAATCCTTTTCTTTCCACGCACTAATACTTGAAGTAAAGGCATAAGAATATGTTTGTCCTTTCATCGACAAGTGTGTTGAGGATAATAGTGCTTATAAACTAATCGATTAGTAAATTTCTTCTCCGTTTTTCTTTCAAGTATGTGACCTAATTATCCCCCGCCCCGAAAAAAAATTCTGAGGAAAAACAGCATTTTGTGGTGAGCACATAGCTTGTAAATGAAACAAAGCTAGTAAGGAAGAAAAACACTATTCCAGTGTGTATATCCATTCTGTGTACAGCAACAGGAAAAACGTCTCTAAACACGATTCAACTGAAGTCTCCTTAAAGCACAAGAAATTTTGTGGTTGCAACTTATGCAAATGGCGAGACAGTAAAAACTGGAATTCCAGTCCGGCATAGTGATCAGGGCGATATGCCACAGCCCTTCCTTTCGATAGGAAGTTTTCCGGAACTGTTGTTTCCTTTACCACGACAGGGACGCAAAACACAATGCAGTTTGAAGTGTTATCGTTCCGGTTTTACGACCCAAGAATGCATAAAGAAGATGTTTAATAATTATTGTATGATGTTAGCACAGGGTATACACTAATGTGGCCTAATTATGTATATAGTTAAGACTGTTACAATTCTATGTTCATTGTGGACAACACCTTTAGGTATGGAAATTTATTTATCTATTTATCTTGCTTTTGTTGTTGTTCTTAAGTTTGTTTAGGCTTCTGAAATCCTTTCTATCCGCAAACATTGAACCAACTGTAACATTTTATTGATAAACTGAGCCCGATACATAAAAAAATCTAATTAATATTGCACAATTCGATAATCTGAAAATATTACCAAATTAATAAATATAAATGATTATTTTATGAGGATAAGACATTGGCTTCATGATCTGCTTTTCTGTCTGTCCAAAGTATATACTATAGTTGTAATTCTTAGTTAATTGTGGTTAGCATACAACCTTATTCAACGGTATGTTAATGCCCATTACGGGCAACCAATAATTGCGTCTAGATAAAAATTTTGTCGGATACAATTAACCTATACAGATTCAAATTGATAAAAAAAAATCTAAGTTTGGTAAAGGACACTTTAATAACTTTGATAACTTAAGATTAAATGAATCAAAGTCGGTCAAAAATCACTAAGGAATTATAAAATGAGTGGACATTTACATTTTACTTGTATGTACCCAGTTTTCGGTACCAAACAAGAGATATTTCCGCAGTCAGCCTACAGAACGTGGGAGGATGCCGAGTCCAGTTGTAGGAAGGACGGGTTGGGACTCCTTGTAAATGTAGACAAACTGACGTCATCATCATTAACGGAACTGGAGGACAGTATCACAGACCCTGACCCCTACTGGACAGGTGCCTACAGACTCAGCATGTTTTATTGGAACTTTGGTATGTTATCTAAGCTCCATAATTGTATTCTCACTATACCTAATAGACAGGTACAGAGTCAGCGTTTTACTGGAGCTCTGGTACATTTTTCAAGGCTCATTATTGTATTTTCACTACTAGTATAAATACTGGATAGGCGGCTAAAGACAGTGTGTGTTTTATTGAAACTTTGGTACGTGTTTTAGCTCACGATATAGCATTTTCTAAAAAGATGGGAGTGTATTCTCTCTAAAGGATGGGTGATAAGACGGGATGATAATGAAAAACTTTTCCAACTTTTGAAAGATATCTACGCTGGATCCAAAATTATGTCAAAATGAACTAACATATACATCATTAAGTTTAATTGATATCTAATTACAAAGAAAATGATCTTTTGATATCACTGCATAAAGAACAGCATAAAGATACCCGGTTGCCATGGACACACTGTAATAAAAACACATTTAATGTATGTCATTCGTGATATGAGTTATAAGTATTTTTTGGGAAGTGGCCTATGTGCATTCTACTGAACACCGTTTGACCTTTTTGCACTTAAAATTTGAGTTTTAGTTAATTCACTTTAACCTTTACCATATTTTCCCAAATGTAATCATTGCAGTTAATATAATCTTTTTTAATGTAAAATGGTGTGAATAATGTTTTAAACTTTTTGAAAATTCATCCTGAAAATTCATGCACGTAAAAAAAATTGTGTGACCTTTTTGCACTATAAAGTATCATATTAGGGGTATTAAAAATCTAAATGGGCAATAAAGTACTTTCTTGTATCAAGGTTTTTTTTATTACTTTGATGCTGATCGGTCAGAGGTATGGTGTACAAATTCTCCCACGTTTCCAACTGCCCTTAATGTCCTGGCATACATAATCAAGTAGTCAGGGATTCCGTAATTCTATAAGAGAGCATTTTTTTAAAATTCACATTAAGATTTTTATTTCACATATGAATATTTGTATTGTTTGTTTGGTGTTCAACGTCCCTTTCGAGAATTTTTCACTCATATGGAGTCGCCACCACTTGCCGGTGGAGAGCTGCAAATTTTGACCTATGCTGGGCACTTAGGGCCATTGAGCAGTGAAGGATTTTTTTTTTGTGCCAGCACCTACTGCGACACGGGACCTCAGTTTATACGGTCTCATCTGAAGGATCGGTCTTCACGTCCTACAGTGGGATTTGAACCCGCGACGTAAGGATCAACTCCTTACTCCGCGACTCTAAAGCAAACGCTCTAACCACTGTGCTACGCATGCGACTATATGAATGTAAATATAAGAAATTATTGTCTACTTTGTTGGGTATGCCAGCGGCATTAACGACAACTGGAAATGGGATAATTTGTTCATGACGGGCTTAGTTAATAACTAAATTTGGCATCCCCCCCCCCCAAAAAAAAATAGACATGGATTCCTCAATTAACATAATATAAGAGATGTAGATCTTATAAGTCCATAAACTTTATACTTTTACATGATCTTTGTTTTACAGGATGCTACACAATCGACTCTGTAGCAATGTACTTGAAAAACTTAAACCAAAACGAAACAGCGAATTCTGTTGTGCACTGCGCAGTTTTCTGTGGAGAGAAGAGAGATTGGATTGGACTTATGGTATAACATCTTTTATCATGAATTAAGAAGTGTGAGACTAATTAAAGACATACACCCTTCGAAATCCAGTTTTGAGGAAAGGGACTAGTTTTATTGATTTATTACACTTTCATTTCATATTTGTGTTATTGTGTTGTATTTTTAATATTATATGTATGTACATAATTTATTTTTCGCTCTTTTTTAATTATTGCAGAAAGGCTTCTGCTACTGCCTAGATATTGTTTCCCAAGTCTCTTTAGAAGTTTCACAATGTACCATCCCATGCCCAGGACACAAACGAGACGCATGTGGTGATGAACAAGCTATGTCGGTCTATAAACTGCGTGAGTTGTCAATATTGTGCAGTTTATTAATATATTTCGCAGTTTATATTATTTATAGTATGAAATAATGCTACATACTCGCGTTTCTGTCCGAATCACAAATTCAGACGTAATTTATCTCAGATTCGCCAGCTATAAATGCAAACAAGTCGCGAAGTAACACAGTAGTCGGCAATTTTATCAATATAAAGGTGAAAATAAATGAGAAACAGGCATAAATCCAACCAGTAAGCGAAGCGAGCGAGAAATATGATGACAAAGAATTTTCCCGATTTTCTCTCATTCGCTATTTAACTACAATCAAACATCACATCTGTAGTGTTAATTAATTCTAGACATTTTTTAACTTTCAGTTACCCCAAACATTCATTTCATTCCTTTTTTTTTTGTTCATTGATCTCTTTCTTAACCATCCGCCATTGAAAATGTGTGACGTCACTTAGCGATTGGAATCATTACCTTCCTGTCGATTCGTTCGTTACGCTCGCGAAGCTCACTGGTAGGATTTATGCCAGCTCACTGGTAGGATTTATGCCTGTATCTCATTTATTTTCACCTTTTTGATAAAACTGCAGACTCTTGTGGACGTAATCTGGTAGGGACGTTGAACCAAACCAAAAAACTAGGTGTGTTTGTGAAACACTGATGCCCCCGTATCGCAACTTATAGCAAAGGTTAAACTTTCTCAAATGCATATCAAAAATGTTGGTATCCAAAATAAGTGCTTGTCTTGAGGAATATACCTTTGAAATATGAAAGCCCTAGAAGCAACCATTGAATAGATATGGAAAAAATTAAAGTTTTCAAAAGTATGTCAAACATCAAGGTCAAGCTCAAAAATTAATGATGCCCAAGGAATTGCCTTCTCACAAGAAATACACATGTGAAATATGAAAGCCGTAGTACCAATCTTTCAAAAGTTATGGCCAAGGTTTAAGTTTTTTAAAAGTAGGTCAAACTCCAAGGTCAAGGTCAATGAATTACAATTGTTGGTATTAAAAGGAAGGTCTTGTCACAAGGAATAGGCCTTTCAAATGTGAAAGCCCTAGCACCAACCGTTCAAAAGTTATGTCCAAGGTTTAAATTTTCCAAAAGTAGATCAAACTCCAAGGTCAATGTCGATGGTATCCAAACGAAGGTCTTGTCACAAGAATTACATATGTGAAGTATAAAAGCCCTAGCACCAACCGTTCAAAAGTTATGGCCAAGGTTAAAGTTTTTCAAAAGTAGGTCAAACTCCAAGGTCAATGGGTCAAAGTTGTTGATGTCCTAAGGAAGGTCTCGTCATAAGGATTACATATGTGAAGTATGAAATCTCTAGCAACAACCGTTCAAATGTTATGGCCAAGGTTAAAGTTTTCCAAAAGTAGGTCAAACTTCTAGGTCATGGTCAAAGGGTCAAAGTTATCCGAAGGAAGATCTTGTCACAAGGATTACATATGTGAAGTATGAAAGCCCTAGCATCAACCGTTATGGCTAAGGTTAAAATTCAGTAAAATTTTTCAAAACTGGGTCAAACTCCAAGGTCAAAAGGTCAAATATGACAGTACCCAAAGAAAGGTCTTGTCACAAGGAATACACGTGTGAAATATGAATGCCATAGCTCCAGCCAATCAAAAGTTATGGGCAATGTTAAAGTTTTTGCGGACAAACAGACAGCTAGACGGAAGGACAGGGCAAAAACTATATACCCCGAATCTTTGATACAGAGGCATAAAAAACAACAAAACAGAAAAAAATCAAGAAATACCTATAAAACATACAGCACTTGTATGTTCTAAAACAGGAGGTGGGTGGGTAAGATTAAACACAAAATTTCCGTATCCTTACCAAATTCTAGGATGATCGAAAAATGAAATAATGAACAACTTCGCAAAAAAAAAAAAAAAAACTAAAATCGGACTTCAATCCTTGGTTGCGCATGCATGAAAGTATAGAGGGAAAATTAATATCCATAAATTTTAAAATATGAGTCAAATGGTAGTTGGTAGGTAAGGTGTATGAGCTAAGTATATTTTGTAAATTTTGTCCATGTAAGTGAGGTACACAAGTTTTTGTCCATTTTCGGAGATGAAACAAAGATTCTCATCAGACCAGAAAAAATTCTAGCTAAAACTACTGATGTATATTTCCAACATTTGAAGCAGAAGAATTACGATCAATTTACTATTGGACTATATTAGACGTTCTTCACTCCGACAAGAGAAACGAACACACTATGCTTAGTTGTGATAAACTATTCATCCACTGTCAACAGGGTTGAGACCATGCCAAGTAATTCAGGTCATGATGTCTGTTGTGTTTGTTGAAGTAGACGTCATACCAGCTAGAATACAACAACGACTTCGTAAAATACCATTGTACACAAAGACAAACTAGGATGAGACCAGGAAAGATATGAAAGAAGCACTAACTGTCATTGAATCCATGAGGAACACTGCACTTCCAACCAATAGCCTCTAGGATCTTTTTCAACATTCACTAGAAGGAAGTGTCAAGGAGCATATAGCAATAAAGCTAGCCAGGACTAAGAATAGTAAATGAATCATAGATTACACGACACGTTCCTGGATTGATAAGAAAAAAAACACGTTACAAGAGAAAATATCAGGAAATACAAAGGATGCTAAATGGGACCAAATTGACGTGCATCTTCAGGAAGATCATGGAGCACATAGTCACTTGAAGAACTATGCTGATTTCAACATCATGTACCCCCTCTAGCATGGTTTCCGTCAAGGCCTTTCATGCAAAACTCACCTTAAAGAGTTCATTGATGCAATCACAATCAACACAAAGGAAAACAGAATAACTGCCTTATTATGGACTTCTCAAAAGCATTTTATAAGGTGAGGCATACCAAGCCTCTTTCTTTACTCCTCACTAAAAAAATATTTACAGCAGTGAAGGAGAAACTTCAGGAGTACTGTGCAACAGTATATTTGAGAAGTGGTATAAATTAGATGTGGATAGTTAAAAATTCTGAGGAACTTTTGAAAAATTTGAAATCACAAAATTTTACCAAAATCAATAACATAATTTTAAACTTACCGTAACGACTTTTCAACTCTATATACATCCATTCCCCACCATAAATTAAAGTCCAGGCTTTTTTACATCATTGACAGCTGCTTTTTCAATAAAGATGGAACTCGTAAATTTACTTACCTTGTCATTGGTCATTTGCAAAATTATTTTGTTAATAACATTCTGATTGTACACACAAGTTCTCTGAAGTTGATATTAAAAATATGCTTCAGTTTCTGATTGACAATATCTATGTGGTTTTTTGGGGAACCAGATCTTCCAACAATCTGTTGGAATTCCCATGGATACGAATTGCGCCCCGTTGTTAGCAGACTTATTTTTGTATTCATATGAAGCAGAATTTATTCATAATCTTATGCATGAGAAAAAGAAATCTCTTGCTGTGGCCTTCAACTCGACATTTAGATATATCGACGACGTATTATCAAATTACAATAGTTATTTCCCTTCGTATATCGACACGATATATCCCAGTGAGCTTGAAATAAAAGATACCAAAGAGTCTGACACATCTGTTAATTTTTGGATATTTTACTAGAAAAAGACATCAATGGTAGTCTAACATCCAAACTTTATGATAAACTTGATGACTTTAACTTTTCAATAGTCGATTTCCCTTACTTACGCAGCAATATACCCTTATCACCAGCATATGGGGTGTATATCTCTCAGTTGATTCGATACGCAAGAGCGAGGTAAGTTTTTGAAAAACAAGTTGATGAAACAAGAATATCAACAGTCTCGTTTAAAGTCATCATTTCGTAAGTTCTATGTTCGATACAATGACCTTGTCAGCAAATACAATCTATCATTAAGTCATATGCTGACTGACGTTTTTCATACTAATTGTTAGGCCACTATTTACACACTGAATTGTCGACAGATTTTTCCGATATTTACCGATCATTACAAGGAGCACACGGCGGGCGTGACCGGTCGGCAGGGGATGCTCACTCCTCCATGGCACCTGATCCCACCTTTAATGTTTCAGAGGTCCTTGTTTGTTCTCTCCTGATTTGTATTGTTTGAATGGACGTTTGAGCTTGAATACTGTTCGTTATCTCCATATTTCAAAGTCTTCAGAAACATTTTGGAAATAAAAGACCAAACAATGGACCCAAAGTTTCCTTACCAACTGAAAGCAAAGTGTAGTCGTGGAAGGGGATTCATCTGAAGAGGTGTCAGTAGACTCTGGTGTGTCGCAAGGTTCAGTCCTCGAATCGAGTCTGTTTCTCTTTTATTTCAAGGACATGCCGGATGGTCTTTCATCGACCGTATGACTCTTTGCTGATGATACCTTGGCAAACATGACTATCGCCTTAAGTACGGATTCAGAGAAAGCTGCAGGACAACCTGAACCAATTCGCAAACTGGTAAAATAAATGGCTCATGAAGTTCCACCCAGAAAAATGTAATGTGCTTACCATCACCAGGAAACGTAGAATCATCAAGAAGAACTATATTCTACACGGCTATCAATAAGACCATATTCCTTCAGCAAAATATCTTGGCGTTGCCATCTTGTCAGACGAAGTGGAGTTAGGACCATAAATATAACATATGCACATAAATAACATCTGTGCTAAGGCAAACAGCAGCATTGGCTTTCTCAAAAGAAACATTTACATCAGCAAAATTAACATTAATATAATTAACATAATTCAATTAACATAATTAACAAAATTAATATAATTCAAGAGAAAACTTATACTAAGTAAATCATTACAACGACCAACAGTTGAGTATGCCAGTGTGGCTTGAAATCCTCATCAAAAGTCAGATATTCAAAAGATTGAAATAATTCAGAGAAGAGCAGCCCGGTATGTCCACAATAGATATCACAACACTTCCTCCGTGACCGAGATGCTCAGTCATCTGGAATGGCCATCACTGGAAGAGAGGCGAAGGATAGCCAGCCTTAGTGTCATGTACAAGCTGGTTAACAACAAAGTTCAGATTGACACTAGCAAGAAACTTAGCACTCAAGACAGAACATCTAGAAACAACAATACTCTGGCATTCCAAATACCTTCATGCCGAACTTCAGTGAGGAAGGAATCATTCTACCCACGTACCATCAGGGAGTGGAATGCACTTCCTAACTCTACTGTAATGACCCTGAGCCTTGACTTCTTCAAGGCTCGTCTCCGTCAGTAAGCCTCCAGCTGTTAGTCCTTAAAAAAGAATGTTTTTGTCTATGTTACTGTGTGTAACTTCAAATGAACTCATGACCTGCCAGGCAAATAGGAGAGACTGAAATCCCTACTACCTCTATAGAAAAAAACATCAATCAGATGTAATGTCAATAAGTGCAATTTTCCAAAAATCACCAACCACAATAGTAATTCAGATAATGAATCCATAAATATTCTTCACTTGCATAAAAAGTTTGACTTTTTTGTATCTTTAACATATTTAGCAATAAAGTATTTGTTGATTACGTGAATAACGATAAACGAGTAATATCAATTTGAAAAATTAGCATTAATGAGGTAAACAATTTACCCAATTAACTTTGTGCACTACAGATTGATATTTGCTTTGCCGTCCAAATGATGCATGTTTGTACTCATTAAAAGCTTCTGATGCAATTTCACACTGAAAGATAAAGAATTGTTGGCAATGCTTGATCGCCATTGTATTCATTTCCAGTTTAAGCCTTATCCCATAACTACAGTGTAATCCTTTTTCTATTTCCTCAATTCTACAATTGAGCTGTAAAAAGACTGCCTAGTATTCTATGGCAAAACAAAACAACATCATATTTTCTTTTTTTTATTACCTAAACGTACCATAAGTGTTGGCCTTGTTATTTCTGACAATGAAGTCGCTAGAACGTTAAGCAATTTTAATGAACGCCACAAAGTTTTATTTGTCAATACATTCTATTTGCTGATATTTTTTTCAGGTTCTGTATGACATGTTTTCATTTAGAATTGTTAGATGGAGCTGCAACTTTACATGTTTTTACACAGATTTTTCATTGCGCTCACTTTCATAGAAATTCAGATCAAAACGAACAGTAACACAGATTGTTTCATACAATTAAACTTCATTTTCCATGGTGACTTACTTAAAATTATTTTATTAATTTTATTTTAAAGACTGAACAATTGTAATGGTATATGCAAAGTATTTCGCTACGTTTTAAATAGCTTAATAGTAACGGGTCATCATCTAAAGAGGAAATTAATCAGCTGTTGATTTCATCCTAAAGATAATTAACTGACATCCGTCTGGACTGTACGAAATGATTTAAAGTAGGGAGTGTCCTTGTGGTACCCTTTGAGAATCTTTTAAAATCATTTAACTAAATAAATCTCATAAGACATATAAAGTAATGGATCTATAATCGTTTATGATTTGCAGTAAACGAAACAGAGATAGCAGATGACATAGCTAAGGAGCAACTGAAGGACAACCAATTATGCACTTACCTAGAAATCAACGCTGGCAGAATAGCATGGAAGGTGGACGACTGCTCGCAGCAGAAGATGGTCCTCTGTCAAAACAGTACAACTTTTTGTCATCACGCTATTTACGTTTTTGTCCCTTCAATATAATCTTTGTTTGAATCCGTTATCCAATTTCCATTTCAGTTGTAACAAAACCATTGATACAAAGGAAATAATAATTTTAAAAATGTTGTAGATATTTAAAAATATAGCATTGGATACCTGTAAATGGTACTGGAAATCGGATTTTTTTCTCACATATGTGAATTTATGTCATGCAATATGTTAATGATTGGTCTACACTCTATCTTTTTGTCATCATAGTATTAAAATTATGCAATAAACAAAGCTTTTTCCAAACAGGGACTGACACTGGGACAGAATTCAGAAATCCACACTATACTCGAAAAGACTGGGACACAGCTCACCAGGACTGCCGGGATAAAAAACTGGAGATGGCGGTGATCACCCGTAATGATACAAATAAGCCTCCATTTAACAGGTTGTCTCCAAGTACAAAAATAGATGTGTGGATTGCCCTGTATAGACACGTTTTAGATCGCTGGACAGACATAGGTATGCATGCATATAATGCACTTATTGGTAACTTGGTCGTAAGTGGGCCAAAGGACAGGCTAATTTTGCAGGGTGTCATAACCAGCAAAAGATTTTACTTATAACATTATAAGATACCCCCATTCCAGTTAAAAAAAACCCGATATATCGATGGGTCATTGGACGGGAGTTGTTCGGTTATGGTCGGTAAACAAAATCAGTCAGGAGAAGGGAGTTGTTCGGTTATAGTCGATAAACAAAATATGTTTTTACCATTCTACAGAAACAGGCACGTAGCAACGGGGGGGGGGGGGCTCCCCCCCCCCACTTTTTTTACTTTATGAAATGTTAATTGAAAGGCCGTTTGCCCCACCCCACCCCCACCCCAACTTTTGTTGTAGAATAGTGAAATAAGGGTTTTGTAGTAGTGTATGAATAAAATTTGGTCACATGTAAAAATCAAGTACGTATTATCTTTCATTTTGTTACTGCGACATATCGACATAGGTAGCAACCTATTCCTTGCCAAGCGTTGGTGGTTCGAAATGAAAGATGTGGGTCTTTCGGATGAGACCTTAAAAACAGAGGCAGACGTTGACACGCTTAGATCCCTCACAGCTTAATGGCCATGAGTGCCGAGTAAAGGTCTAAATTTGAAGCCCTTTACCAGCATCCGGAAGTGTCTCTGGTGAAATAATCTTGCACGGACGTAAAACCACAATCAATCTATGATTCTGTAACAGGACTTGGGAAATGGCTTTCTTTTAGGCTCGGAAATTTCCTCAAGTCCGATGATGTCCTTCTTCCTTCCTTTGTTTTTGTTTTGTTTTTTTTGTTTTGTTTTTTTTTTTGGGGGGGGGGGGGAGGGGGGTTAATATAGGCAATGTTATCACGTAAATTTAACAGCTGATAACTCAAAGGGAGGAGGTCAGCATATCCTAACCCTGGCTGGATCCGCCCACGCTTTCATAAAGGGTTTGAAACGTTTTGCAAATAAAAGATGCTATTATCATCTTCAGTTTTAGCTGTTATATATACATGTATATTAAATTTTTTTTATATAATTTTACGAATGTAAACAGTTTTGAAATATATTGGTTGTTGTAGATATGAAGGACAATCCCCAAAACTGCCTGGCCATTGAAAAAAATAATTTTGGAGTTCTTGACAGAACCTGGCAGCCATGCTCCACCCAAAATAAATATGTCTGTCTCAGTGGTAAGATATTATCGTATTCGCGAAATCTGAGTCAATAACTTAAGTCAGTTTGTACTGGCTGATCTGAGTCAATAGCTGAAGTCAGTTTGTACTGGCTGATCTGAGTCAATAGCTGAAGTCAGTTTGTACTGGCTGATCTGAGTCAATAGCTGAAGTCAGTTTGTACTGGCTGATCTGAGTCAATAGCTTAAGTCAGTTTGTACTGGCTGATCTGAGTCAATAGCTTAAGTCAGTTTGTACTGGCTGATCTGAGTTTGTTCTTCGCCAATTATGCCTCCTGTAATTTTATCTCTGTATAATCAATACCCATTTTCGCATGGTATACTTGTAAAGCATTTATACTAAGTGTAGTCTCTGGTGTAATGGCGATATATATGGTGCACAGCTTCCTTTTCTAGAGAAAACGTGTCGCTGTCAGCACCCACGCTAGGAAGATCCGCTTTTTTTAATAGAAGTTGTGATGACCACTAGCACCCTACCCTTAAAATTTCAGACCACTTCACACAATTTTGAATTTCGAACTGCGTTCTAGAATGCAGCCGTTTTTGAATTGCGAACTGCGTTCCAAAATCTTATTGCCCGCTAGGGATCGAACTCAGGATCCCGAGAACGTTCAAAGCGCTACCGACTACGCCACAGAAACCGCTATATTATGACACTTTTTTTACAATATAAAAGATAGTTTAATATGTTTGAAACAAAACATGAAAAGAATAAATATAATTTCCAAAAGATTGATATCACCGACAAAGAATTTTTTTGAATTTTTTTTTTAGATTAAACAAAAGCAACGTTACATAAAGTGGTACTTCGGAGTCATTAAAACGCTTTTTGTTACAACGCTTGATTAAAGAATGTTCTGTCCATTATGTGAAAACCGTAACTATTATTTCGACAGAGTACATCCATATCATTATATATTCAATTCAATTTCGTTAGCCATACACGCAGGTAATCCTTTCCTCTTGTAATTGAAACATAGTATGTCAAATGTATCAGGCGCGGATCCAGGAATTTTTTCCAGGGGGGTCCACCCCAGTCAAAAAAAAAATTCCAATCCAGAAATTTCTTGACAAAAAAAAAAAACGCGTTAAAGTCTATTTCAAAATGTTTGTTGAAACAAAAGAAATTTTTCGTGGTGATTTCCACGTTTTCTAGGGGGGTGGGGGGTCCAATGCCATTTTTACCTTGCTTTAGCATATACTTTAATAACTCTGTAAATTCCGGGGGACGGGGGGTCCGGACCCCCGACAACCCCCCCCCCTTCTAGGTCCGCGCATGTGTATTATTTGGAAGTTTGACAGACAATTAAAGAATTTCCCAGGTCTAGAAGTACTACACAATTATTGCTGTTTTTATATTTTAAATGAGGTAAAATAAGGTTGCTGAATCATCTTATTTTACCCCCCAAAATTATTTTGTTAAGATGGTTCTATACATCAATAATATGGCATGTCAAATGTTGCAGTATTCGATCTTTTCCATTGTATAATTTTCGATTTGTATTGTATAATTTTTCATTTGTATTGTATAATTTTTCATTTGTATAATTTTAATTTTATTCTCTAATTTTCGATTTGTATTGTATAATTTTTCATTTATATAGTATAATTCTTATTTGCATTCTATAATTTTCCATTTGTATTCTATAATTTTCCATTTGCATTGTATAGTTTCTTATTTGTATTGTAAAATTTCTTATTTGTATGCGATAATTTTTCATTTGTATTGTATCCGAGGATTGTTTGTTTGTTACGTTACGAAGATTTCATTCCTGTGTCGGGTTGAAAACGAGCGAGATGTTCCGGGTGCTCAAAGCAAACTGGGCTCATATGTATTTGCGTGCATGTTAGAGGACGGTCATTGGATTTTAAAAAGGGGGGGGGGGGCTTTCAGATGACAAATAAATAATCTGTCCTTAGAAATGTTGACTGAGAAAATAAATAAATTGACCTTGAGTGGTGGTACAGTGTACCAACCACCCACCAACCCACCCCTTTCCAAAGAAACTGAATTTTCGGGTTTGGGCAGATTCTTTTTCTTTTCCTTTTTCTCCTTGTCTCAGGTCATATTGGAAATAAATATTCTCTCCTTCGAGAGAACGAAAATAAATAATCGGATTCGGACCCCCCCCCCCCTTCGAGAATCAAATGGTCGTCCCTTAGCATGCACGCAAATAGAAGAGCCCAGTAGAGTGCGAGGACGGAATTGTGGGAAGGGTTCCAGACTAAGTTTGTGTTGGGCACCTGACACACCCCGATCGTTTTGAACACTTTATACTTTTTACTTCGTAACGAAATAAATTAACAATCCTCGGATACAATACAAATAAAAAAAATATACAATACAAATGATTTTTTTTACAATACAAATGGAAAATATAGAATACAAATATAGAATACAAATAAATGTTATACAATCCAAATGGAAAATTATAGAATCCAAATGGAAAATTATAATACAAATAAAAATTATACGATACAAATGGAAAATTATACAATACAAATAAAAATTATACAATACAAATAAAAATTATACAATACAAATAAAAATTATACAATACAAATAAAAATTATACACTACAAATGGAAAAGATCGAATATTTGCAACTTTTGACATGCCAAACAATGAGGTTAAAGTCACTTTCTTTGCATGGATTCGTTTCTAAAAGTAGACTCAAAATTCAAAAATTAAAAAAAAATCCAAAGTATTAAACTTTAATTTTTTTTGTATAAAAGAATCATTCATATTAAAGAAACTCCTACTTTTTCAAATTCCAATGCTTTATGCTTTAATTCGTATGTATATACTCTGATTACTTATTCTCTCCATACTTCGGAGGGCGCTTGAGGCATGTATTTATCAAAGGTTCGAATAACACGTGTTCGTGTTTATTTATATCTGAAATCTATTGGCTGTAATACTGGTCACCTTGTCAGGTGACATTTAAATATTCATTGCACGGGTTTTAACTGACTGCTGTTAGCGTTGAAAGTTCTATGGCCATTCGAAGGCTCTTTTCAGTGCAGATAACACGTCTTTTTTCACTCTCTATTTCCACGTAATTTGGGCGATTCGGGCGATGAGCTGACTTTAGATACAGATAAATTACCAAAAGACAGCACAGGATGGATTTCTTCATGGTAAATCTTGGACATTGTTAAACTCTTCACGGGAGTAATACAGTCTCAGTTCAAAACTTTCTCGGGCAGTTAAAAACGGAACAGCCCGAGTCTATTTCGAAGAAACTCAAGAAAATTCTCTACACAAGATAAAGTCCGAAGGTAACCGAATTCAGTTCGAATTTAATGCCGAATTGTTAGAGGGCTTAGAGAAGCTGGAGTCAAGAGCCTTTGACTTGAAGGATTCTGAATCATTGAAAATTAATTCCGACTTAAGTAAAAAATTGAAAACGCGTCACAAACATATACGCATAGCTGATTCCTCTCCGGCCGGGTGGAAAACTGTCAACGAATACCAAAGTAACGAGATAGCAGACAACTATGATGACGAAAAGAAGATTCGCAGCGCCGAAAACAGGGCCCTCAGACACCAGAAGTAAAACAAGAGATTTCAGCCTTATGGGACACAAAAAACGCCACCAGCGGCAGCAGCGGGATCTCCAGCTCAAATGGCTTTTCCTTGGGTTTCTAGTACTTTTCAGCCCCTTCCTGCATTTCAACAGCAGCAACAACAGCCATTTCTCTATGGCCAGGGCAGAAACAAGCAGTCAAGGAGACAGCCTATGCCATACGACGTTTGTTTCAAGTGTTTTGCAACAGGGCACTGGAAGTCCAACTGCCCAAAGGGAAAGACCACTCAAAATCAATGATAAGTATACAGGTTATTTGACTTGTAATCACGAAAAGATTCAAAAGAGTAAAACGGAAAGTAGTATAAAACACAGTTTAAAAAGACATTACAGTAAATGGGAAGAAATTAGGGTTTTTCCTTATATTTTGAAAGTCTGGTTATGAAATTCCTTTTATTTCCGTTACACCGTCTATGATTTTTCAAAATAACAAATCTGCAGGAATTAACGCTGACTTTGTCTCATCAGAAATATCCCAGTTAATTAAGACAGGTTGTGTTGTAGAAGTTACATACAGATCATATATTAAAAGCCCTCTCAGCGTCGCGGAAAACAGGTCAAAAAAGAGACAGATACTAGATTTGAGTCGACTGAATAATTATGTGAAATATGAGAAGAAAGTTTGAAGATTGGAAAACAGCCCTGGATTATTTTGAAATAGATTGTTATTGTCTAAAATTCGATCTCAAATCTGGCTATCACCATATAGATATTTCTGAAAGTTTCCATATCTCGGGTTCTCATGGAACGACAAGTATTACTGTTATACCGTGCTCCCGTTTGGTTTGTCATCCGCTCCATTCATTTTTACAAAATGCCTAAGACCTATTGTTAAATTCTGGAGAAAGAGGGGTATAAAAATAGTACTTTACCTAGATGACTGTTTTGTGTTTGCCCCATCTAAATAGGAATGTTTTTTCAGTTTCTGAATTCATTCAAAAGAGTTTGTCAGAATTTGGGCTACTTATTAATTTTGAAAAATCTGTATTTTACCCTACCCAGAATTTAGAATGGTTAGGAATTTCTTGGGATTCAAAGTCATTTTCTATTTCAGTGCCCACGTCTTGACGACACAGTCGCTTCTTTGCAGAAACTAGTGAAGAGTTTTCCTAAAGTGACGGCCAGAGAGTTGGCAAGAGTGGTCGGAAAGATTAGGTCAATGTCACCAGTATTGGGAAACATATGTAGTATAATGACCAGATTCTGTTCTATAGAGATAGCATCTAGAAAGTCATGGGACGATGTTATTGTATTCACACACAAGAACGAAGTTCTAAATGAATATAAATTTTGGTTACAATGTATTTACTCAGAAAAAAACAAGGTACTTACACATACCTACAAAGAAAAGTGTCATCATTTACTCCGATGCGAGTAGTCTAGCATCAGGAGCTTACACTGTTGAAGT